TTATTTACTCTGATCTCATGCGTCCACAAATCATGTATGATTTCATATAATTATTCGGCTACAGATAGATCGTCGAGTTTCAGAATTTCCACAAACATTCCCATCTTTTCTCAGAGTTCTTCTACTCTTGATCTGTTGGATTTCTCTCACTACTTCATCGATGTTCGGTATAGCATCCTGGCGTGACAGCTCCATTTAGCCAATGGAAGGACACGTAATCCGTTGAAATGTTTGTTCATCAATCATAAATTTTACCTTGAACATTTCATCAAACTATTTTCTCCACCTATTTAACCAATCTTTGCAGTTTGTTAAGGCATTTCCATCTTCGTTGTGAATCGTTACATGTTTCGTATTTGCATCACTACTACAGAAGCGTCATATTATTTGGAATACAGTTGTTTGACCGTGGTCTCTCACTGTATTTTCAATATCAACACTCAATTCCTCACAATATTCGCACTGTCTAGCTTCTACTTTGTTCTTAAATGGTTTGGCCAACTTTCGCCATTGATTTCCATGCTGAACCTCCTCCTTCATACCATAATGAAATTGCCATTGAACGTAATCTTTGGCTTTCTTATCCATAATATCCATTACATCTGATGTAAACCATTCCAAAGAATTATTTTGGTAACTCTGATCCATTAATGTTGTTTTATGCACCGATTGGTATGAAAAGAACATGTTGATGACAATGAATCCATCAAACACATAAAATTCGACTAGACGTCGACCGTTTTGACTTCCACCCATTATCAGGACGATACTACCTTTAGTAGTTTTGCCAATAGAAGATTGAAGAGCTTTATAAAACTCATTACAGACCTCAATGCTAGTTTTTAAACAATTCGAAGAACTTACAGCTACATAGACAGCTATGACACTAATCATATATGGCCCGTCATACAGTAGGAACCATTACCATTCTCGAGTTAACTGCTTCTCAAGTGGAATCAAAATTCTCCAAAGCACAAGTTGCTCATGGAACTAGACACACAGCAATGCCATAATCAGTCCTCGAGCATTCTTGAGTCGGCGTTCTCGAGTACATCAATGTGTAACCATTCACTAGACAAACATTAGAATCTGGCATATTAGTCTTAGCTAGTGCTGCAACCTCTATTTGGTATTATTGTAATTTGTCGAACAATTAGTTTGCATTTAGTGATACGATCTGACGTCCCATGGTTCAAAATGTGTTATTTTAGTCGTATTAATGATTGCTGTTTGATCTTTTCCCGTAATATAAAGAATGTTTAGAGTGCTACAAACGTGTAACTAGCTCGAGAGAGAGAGAGAGAGAGAGAGATACGATAGCTTCTGAACCCCAACGGATGCTGTCTCAGTACTGCCCGTAGTACTAGACCCCTGGAAAGTGCACGAGTACTCCACAATATGGAGAGATAATTATGAGAGAGCACATGTTAAAACAGATTCCGACGAAACTGATAGACATTGTTTGATTGCTTTTTCTGTTTTACCATTGAACCATTTAGATCAGATTAGATATTTGTTACACAAGCTTCGATCTATGTTATTTGTTTTTCAAACATTGATTGGAAGGAAAAAAGATAATGAACCTTTTCTAATAAGTGACACAACGAAAAAAAGAATTTCTTTTTCTTTGTGCGTTCGACAATACACTTGAAAAGACAAGATCTTATCATATCCAGAGAAAGTAGTTATCCTATAGTCAAGTACATTATTTTGTAGAGAAATAAATTCTCCAGAAACCCGTATATCTCAGTGGTCATCTACCTAATTTTCTCTCTGAAAAATTGAAAGTCATGAAAGACATACATAAGAGACCAATTATAATGAGCAACTAATGCTCTTTTTATATAAATAATTTTCAAAGTAAAGGACATGATTGGAGTTAGTTTATTCTCTCTCTATCAAATGATACATTTTGAGTAAAGTTTTCCCTTTATTAAATTTAAGAAATTTGGGTCCTCTGTAAAACTTACAGAGTTCTAGTTATGTCGAAGCTTTTGACGTTTTATTCATATATTCTCGGTTCTAATACACATCAGCGTGTAGAAAGCCGTTTTTCTATCGAATGACATATAGTACAAAATGGTTCGATGTAGAAAAAGCCGTCATAAAAGGAAAACTACAGTTATCCGAATACTTTTTTTGTATAAGAAATTAATTGGTTTATTGAAAATTTTCCAGGCCTTATTAAACCTTTTTGAAAAGAGTTTTCTTTCTTGGTTGTAAAATTCGTTTTACGAGATGTGTATTACAGAGAGTCTGAATAATTATTTTACATACTGTATATGCTTAGTATAGTTACGCGCTAAGGTTTCGTATTACTTTATTCCAACACAGAAGGACCTGAGCAAAACTATCAAAGTTTCTACACCCTAGAAACATTATAAAATGAAAGTAATTTAACAGTATTCAAGTATCTTAGTATTGGTTTATTAGGATCTTATTTCTTTTGTGGAGAAAAATTTTTTAAATTATCACAGCTAGTGGTGCTTTCTTGTACAAAGAAAACAGACGCTTAACTTTGGCTAATGAATAATATTTAAACAATATTTTTCGATGAATTCAATTAAATTTAAGATAGACTTATTATTCTTCTAGTCTCATTTATGTTCAAACAAATCAAGATACTGTTTTGAGCTTGCTAATTAAAAGATGTATACAATTTTGAATAATGCAGATCTATGGCTTGTATTTATTTGCGCAATAAAAATATTGGAATGGCAATAATTAAAATACGATTTAGCAATAATTTTTGAGCAACAAAAAAATTTTACTTAAGTAATTTTATATTATTAAATGTACAATAATCAATTCATTAAGTAGCAGTAGTAATTTCATATTTTAGCAATAAAACAAAGAAAAACTACATTATTTTACATGAATTAGAGAAAACGAAGTTATTTATAATTGAAAAAAAAGAAAAATGAAAAAACAGTATATTATTGTGTGAATAAAGCTTTTTTTTGCTTTAGATAATCTGCCTCCTTTTCTTTTTATATTTTATTTTGTAAAATTGAAAAAATACGTATTTGTATATATGAATGAATTCATATTGCCCTTTGTTAACGGGTGATTGATCTAAAGCATCAATACTGACCTACTACTTTATTGGAGAAATAGTAATTATATATATGAATGAGCTAGGAAAAAACCAAACACCCTAGAAAGAAAGCATGACGAATAAGGAAATATACCTGAACAGCATCTAGACAAGAGAAATATCCAAGTGAGAGAAAGGAAAAAAAAGATATATGTATATATCGGAGTTGATTTTAAAATTCGGTTCCATTTTAAAGGCGACTAATTGAATTTAAAAGGCAATTAGTTGATTTCGAAATATTTTAAAGTCAACTCCGACATATATGTGTCGTACTTGTCGCCTGTACGACATCGTAGAAAAGAAAGGAAAAAAAAATGATATATAAGCGAGTCACACTGTAACACCCTTTTTATATGAAATCTACCTTATATAAAATTTACCTTTAATTTAAATAAATTATTGCTCATTCTATATAATTATTGCTCATTCCATATAATTATTGCTAAATTTCATTACTGCTCATTTAATTTTTTTATTGCTAAATTCCATTATTGCTCATTTAAATTATTTTATTGCTCAATTAAATATAAGTCCAGATTTATCTAATTGGTTTCTGTTTGACTGTCAAGTTAAAAATAAAAATAAATCTCTTGTATCCATATTAGAAATCAGAGAAATATCAAGTATTCATGTTCAATGGAGATTTCACTTGGGTTCTATAGTTCATACACGGTCAGTAAACACATAAACAAGAAATGCACGGTTTCGCTCTAAAAAGAACCATGTGTATGAACTAAAGAACAAAAGATTAAATCACATACGCCTATGAATGGTTGATATTTCTCTTATCTTGAATATACATGCCAGATGTTGTTTCTATTTTTACCTTGACAATCAGAAAGAAAGCAATTAGACAAATCATGATTATCCAAAGATAGTATACATGTTTTATTTAGCAAGATCCAAACAGTATCTTGATTTGTTTGGACATAAATGAGACTAGAAGAATAATAAATCTATCTTAAATCTACATGAATTCATTGAAAAATATTATTCAAATACTATACATTAGCAAAAGTTAAGTGTCTATTTTCTTTGTGCAAGAGAACACCGCGAGTTCTCATAATAATAATAAAAAATGTTTTTCCACAAAAGAAACAAGATTCTAATAAACCAATACTAAGATAATTGAATACTGTTAAGTTACTTTCATTTTATCATGTTTCTAGAGTGCGGAAACATTCTTAACTTGTTTTCGGATCCTTTGGCAAAACTCACATGCATCAATAACAAACAAGAGAGTAGACAAGGACCGTGCCTCCCGCACAGCGATAACTACGAACGTTCTAATAAATACAAGAGTATAAGATGGGTAAGTGTGAAGTCCACAATCTCTACGAATGGTTAACAGTAATATCGATTAGTATCATTTCTTGTTCAACACCAATCAACTCTGAGCAATGATTTGTAGTAATTAAATGTTTTGTATTTTTTTTCTTGTATTACTTGGCTTATTAAATAGCCTATCAATCAATCAATCAATCAATATTGCTTCTGGTACATGTATTTCTTAGTGAAACATAAAATTAGCTATGGCACAAGACAAAAAAGAATTTAAATTATTCAATTTTTGAATGAGAATCAACAGAAGAAAAAGAAGCAAGAATTAATATAAAAAAATAGAATATTAATCATAAAATTAGTACAATGAACACAATTAGAAAGAAAAAGAAAACACATGATTAATAGTTTCATTTATGATTGTAAAACAGAAAGATATAAACAACAGAAAAAAATGGTTTTTAGTATTTGTAAGCCTGCAAGAATGTAGCCATATAGTTCATCAGTTTTATTTTATTGCACATATCTAATATTCGTTGGATTTGCTTTGTTGTTTTAGATGAGAAAATTTGGTTTCATCAAACACTCTATTTGATTTTTATACTGGTAAATAAAATCAATACTATTCTTCAGAATTATTATATTGAGAATCATCTAAATCATTAGTTTCATCTTCATCCAACAATTCATTAATCAATTCATTGTTCGTATTATTCGTATTTTCTTGTGTTGCCATTTGTGTACAACAATGTTTAAGACCTTTAAATATTCAAAATAAGAATAATATAAGACCAAACAAAAAAAAAATATTCTACACTTACCCGAACAATAGAGAATAGTCAAGGCTCCTAAAAGTTGATAAATATTTTAATTTATAAAACATATTAATTAGAAAATTATCAAAGTAAGATCAATGAAAGTCCTTTAGATTGCTAAAGCTAAGCCTAAGATTCTGAATCTTTTTTTTCTTGCAGTCACCCGAATGTAAAAAGCATTGCTGAGCAATCGTATCTAAGAAATTTCCTCTAAGTAAAATTTTACTTTTATCTATTGATGGAGACTATATTCCCGATGCAATCTAAATTCAGATTTTGTTATTTTTTCTTTTTGAAAAATTCATCAATATCAATGGCAATAATAACTATTCAAATAGTTCATGACACAAAAATATCTGAATTTTGTAATGATTTGAGGATATTTATTTATTCTTTTTTTTTTTAAATATCTCTATAATTACGTACCTAATGCTTGAACTTTTTCATCAATATTAGCAATTCTAGTACGAAGTTTTCGTTTTTCATTTTCATCGGTCAAACTATTTTCGCATTCATGAGTCATTTCATCACGAACTTGACATTGTAAATCAATTTCTTGTTGTAAACGTGAAATCTAAATTAATAAATGAAAAATGACAAAAAATTTCAAATTATTATAACTACTAACTTCATTATCAAGTCTTTGTTTTCGTTCATCAGGTGTTAAGTCAGGAAACAATTCTTGTCCAAATTCACGTGCTTTAGCATAAAGTTCTGTATCATCAACAGCTCTTTCATGAAGTAAATGTTCAAGACTTGTAATATCATTACTTTCATCAGATAAACATTTCTAAAATAAGAATTAAACTTTATTGTTTTTTTTTGAATACAATTGTTTATTATTTCTTTTACTGTAATGATATCTCGTAAATCAGATTCCGGAATATTTTCATTAGATTCTAAAAGAAAATTTTATGATATTCTCATTTTAAATAAATATTATTAAATATTACTTAAATTTAGTGTTGCTCGAGTTTGTTTTATAGGATTAGTTTCAGAAGTAAGAGGTAATCGTTTCGATTTAAATTCTCGAAATTTACTATACGCTGATGAAGCAGCATTTGCTAATTTGGAAGATGTTTGTATGGAATGATGTAGTATTGTTGGTCTTGTTGGTGCAGTAGTCGAAGGAGTATTTAATGATTCATCACTTTTTGACAGCTCTGATGTTTCTGTAAGATCTGGAACTAAACTTGTTGTTGTTGTTGTTGGATTAGCATTTCTATTTCCAAATGCACGAAATGAACGACGTGCTGTGGAATCAAGTACAGAAAAAGCAGCTACAGCTTTTGTTGATAAACGATATGCTGTTGTTGGTAGTGTTGTTGTTGGTGGTACTGTTGTTGGTAGTGCTGTTGTTGTTCGATTATGGATTGGATTTTGTACTAATTCATAATTATTTTTTATCAATGATGGATCAGTATCATCTGTTACTGCAATCGAAGCGTCATTTAATTCAATATGAACTAAACCTTTATTATCATCATCGGGTGTCGTAGAAATTAGATTAGTTTTTAAATGAGTTGGTTCATGTGTACATGTTGTTTCAGCATTAAATTTATCTTCACATTTTTTATGTATTGTTATTAAACAGTCACGACATTGACGACCAATTTTCATCCAAATTTTTTTCTTACAATAACCACATACTGTTGCAACTGTAAATGCTTTATCTTCAAATAAATGATCCGTAAGTCTAAATAGAAAAAAAAACTTAATTTAGAATTTTTTTTTTTGTATTTGAAATGAAATTACTTTCGTGTAGGTAATTCATGTTGTGCATTGATAGCATTTATATATTTTAATTGAGATTGTTTTTTTTCATTTTCTTTGATTCGTTTAGATAGTGCAGTTAAAGTTGGTGTATTAGCTGCAAATTGATCTTTTTTCTCCTGTGGGTTTAATCCTGCTTCAATTTCTGGTTGATGTTCGATATTTATTGTTACAAAACCATGAGCCAAGTTATCATCATAACCTTTATGAGTAGCTAATTCGAGTAGTTTTTTACTAAAATAAAATTTAATGACTATAAATTCCATGAAAAATTAAAATATGAGGAGTAAATAAAATTTTTTCATGCATTTTGCTGCTCTAATATATATTTTTTTAAATTTTACCTTTCCGAATCTGTCAATGAAGCACTTCTAAATAAAAGAATTCATCCATTAATATATGTTTATATATATGTTAAGATTAATTATATGAATTAAAACTTACAAACTAGAACTTTCTGAATAAGGTGATCGAAAATTGAGTGTCGTTTGAGTTTCACGTTTATAACTCATATGTGCATCGAGTACTACTTCTGAAAGAGCTACTGTAGCCTAAATAAAATATAAAAATATGTATCATCTAAATTTTATTGTATGAATAGAATTAATTCTTTTGTTAATATAGAAAAATCATATTGAAAATGATATAGAGATCTATCCGAGTTTTTGTCATTCTCCTTTTTTTTTCTTGAATATAGTTAATTTTGACTTACATAACCGAGCAGGATAAGTTTTTTGCCAGCATTTGGTACATCACAATCAAGCGGTGGTTTACACCATAAACAAACATTAAGAAATCGTTCATTTGGATCGACTTGAAAATTGAATTTATGATTAAATTCAATGTGCTATATTAAAGAAAGGCAAGGACAAAAAAGAAATGATTTTTTTAAAATTTGGTATAAAAACGAACCGGTTCCGCTTTTTGAGTAGGAGTTGGTTGAGCTTGAAATTTTTGTAAAATATCTGCATTCATCATAATTAAAGTAATCTCATTTACAATACTTTTCTATATATCAAAAACAAAAAAAAAGACAATTTCAAATGAAGAATTTCTGATCAATTTTATCTACTGGTTGTTTTGGTTTTTTTGTTGTATTCGTACTTGATGATTTGATAGAAGTATCTTCCATATTAGTATTTTGTATTTGTTCATCATCATCATCATCATCTAATGGTTTGTTTTCTAAACCAATTGAGTCGATATTTTTATCAAATTTTACTAAAGAAAAAAGAATACAAGAAAAATCAATCATGAATAAAACATTAAAAAAACACCGTACTTGCTGGTTCAGCAAATCTTTTTCGTACACTAGCTGATGTTGAAGATATATCATTACGTATTGACAACGTTGGCGAATATCCACCCTGACAGAGTATTAAATTATAATAAAATAGATTCTTTCAATTTTTTCTTTACCTGTTTTTCTGTTTCTATTATATTTGATCGTTCGACTGCATACTGTACTCGAACACTATGTAATAAAGGCATACCAACAATAATTTTTATTTTATCTTCATATGCATTTGTTGTTGTTGGTGGTGGTGTTGATGTTGTTGTTCCATCATTAGGTGAAACAATTGGTTTAAATTTTAATAAACGATTCATTTGTTTAAGTGTTTTAACATCGTGTCCTTGTATTTGAAGTAAAAACATATTTTTATCTTCTAATGCTGCTTTAAATGCTGCTACATTTTCAATTCCATTTGGTATTGGATCAATGTTTTCAATTAATAATTCTGTTCGATCCATATAAATAACTTGTTTAGCAATTATTTTATGTATATTACGTGTGAGTTCAATTTCTTTCATTGGCCATTGTTGACGTTCTATATGTAAATAATCTGCACACATTTGTTCATTAATATTTACTGTTAAAAATACTGATACAAATGAAATTTTTTGTTTATCAAATATTCTTAATGGAATTGAAAGACGATCACAATGTTTAATTAATACATTAAATGTACCCGGTATAAGATTATTTCCATTAGCAGATAAAATTTCAATTGGTAAAGATTGTTCTGATGTAGCAAAAAATGGTGTATAACGAATTTTATAACTTGGCCATGTTTGTTTACGTTTCATAGCACGACGTAATTGTTGAGTAATAATTTGTGCTACTTGTGGACTTTCACCAGCAGCAAAATAAGATTTAACATGAAAATCAATAAATGGCTCATCTTGGAAAACTAATAACCAATGACAAAATGGTTCACGTCGAAATTCTAAACGTAAACGTCCTTGAATACGTTTAACTTTAATAAATAATTGACATTTATGACCAAATAATAATGTTACATCAAGTGTAACAGAAAATCCATCTTTATAATCAGCATCAATATTAGCAACAAATTTCTAAAGAAAAATTTTTTAATTACATCTATCGAAAGTGGGATATATGATACACTGAAAATTGATACTACTGGATAAAAAAAAAAGAAGAAAGAAAGAACAAATTTTCATACATGAATGAAGCTTTTATAATCCAAATAAAGATTTATGTATCAAATAACATTTCTTTTTCTGTTTAGAATCATGAAACGTATTTAAAGATTTCTTACTTTAATCAAATTACGTTCATCACGTTCTTGCCGTTCAAGTTGAATATCGCTTAACACTGGACATTCTTTTCCAATTGAAAAACTTTGTATCTTAAAAAAAAAAAACAGATTATTATTAGAATTTTCATAAAAATCTATTCCAAAAAATACATACAGCAATATTTTGAAGAAAAATTTTTCCTGTTCGACTATTTTTTAATTCATTAAATTCTATATTTAATTTATGCATTATATAACGTCTTAATCCTGAACTATCTTTTAGTTCTTGAAACAAAAATTGAAATAAATAATTAACACCATCAACAGCTGAATTTTTAGCTTGTTCATTCTATAATAAATAATATACAGATATGAACTATGTTACGATATATGAACTTACTTCAGGTAATGGATGAAATGTTTGATACTGTTCTTCTTCTTGTTCATTAAATGTTACTGGTGATGAAAATGCATAGCGTGTATATAAATATAATAATAAAGCAATTGTTGATATACAACCCAGGATATAGCTGACAAGTATGATTAGTAAAAACATTATTGCAAACGAAATGAATTAACTTCTATCTCATCTTGAAAGAACAGAAAAAAAACAATTTTTTTTGTTTATCAATTTCCCTTAAATTTTTTCAGTTCTTGTTGTTCGTTTGGTTGTATTCAAAATTCTTTGTTTACACACACACTTCGAAAGCGTCATACAAAACTATACAAACACGTGAGTGAGACAAAGAGAGAGAAGAAGAAAAAACCAACGAAAAAAAAAAAACCATTTAAAAGCGTACACAATTAATCATCATCCATCTTCAAGGTTATTATCCTTTTCAACTCTAAACTATCCGTACACACACCTAATATCGCTCGTTTTTTTTTCTTAACATATAATAAACGGAAGAATCTTGCATCGATCAATTTGATATTATTTTAATATCCCTTATATAGTTTTTCCTAGAACATATATATATATATCCGAATGAAAAACGTGTTACATCAGTAATAATCCCTATTTACAATGAAATACAAAAAAAAAGAAGAAAGAAAACGAAAGAGTGCTAAGAATCATCGCTATGTTCCTCATCTTCTCACATATTCCAGCGCAATAGATATGAACGCGCACGAAAAAGAAAAGAAAAGAAAACTGTTGTCTATTGTGAGAAATGAAGATCACTGCGAGCATATAACGCAATAGAGAAAGAGAAAAGAAAACCAACAGTTTGCCAATAAATTAAAAGAAGAAAAACCAAAAAAAACCAAAACAAAATACAGTCGACCAACACAAGCATTTAGCAATAATATAGAATTGTGTATGTTCCTCTATCTCTCTCTCTCTCTCTCACTTGACTCACACGAAACAGAAGGAAAAAAACGAACGAAATGTGTATGCATATAAATACGAACGATCAAGTCAAACTAGGATTTTGAATGAGCAAAGAAGCATCGTCAACATTCGATGATAAATGATGATGATGATTAAAACTAGGTGGAACATAACCAAAGAATTGTGGAAATGATGCTGTTGCGGACGGTGATGTATGAATTCGCTGAGAAGGATAATAGCTGTTCGTTGAATTATTTGTTGTTTGAAATTGTGTTGGTACACTAAGATCAATTGATGCTAAATTAGTATCAATAATTGGAAAATGACGATTTATATTTGTTGGATCATCATTAAATGTTGTATTATTTGTTTGATTTACATTTGGATAATTAGTTAAATAAGATGATGATGATGTTGGAATACCAATTTGATTAACGTTTGTTAATTGTGCTATAGATGAATTTGATGATTGTTGTTGAACTGATGGAGCTAAACCTGGAAATGGTCTTTGAATTCCAGGCATAAATATTTGTTGTTGTGATGTTGAATCATTTGGTTGCCAAAGATTCGGTGGTGGATACTGCTGATTTGCACGTGATGGTTGATTTGTTGATGGAACTGTTTCAATTATATGACGATACGAATCTTGACGATAACGAAGAGCTAATAGAAAAATAAAGAAAAATAAACAAATAACATAAAATATTAGAAATTATTTTTAATACCAGAAAATAAACAGGATATGATGATGAAAAATAAAAGAGGCAATTTTATTACTCACCTTGCCTCAAAAAAAAAAGAAAAGACAAAGACAAAGACCGAATTAATTTAGGATAATCAAGCATTATAAACTCATTAGCTAGCGAAAAAACATTTTTTTGTTTTTCAATTGATTGATAAAAAGAATATTTATGTTATGCAAAGCAACGTGCATAGATTTTCTCTATCTTTTTTATTTCTACATAAAAAAAAACGTACAAGAAGAAAAAAAAAACACGAAGAACTCGGCTTATTTCCGACCATTTATATATAAATGATTAGTAGTATTTATCACTTTTCGTGCTTCTGGTTTTACTTGATGTAAATTAATATGCACTATAAACAAAATATAAATATTCCTAAATAGTTTTTAATAGTACTCTTTATCTCAAATCTGCAGGAATTAAACATGATTAGTTATTTTTTTTTTTGTTTTTTTATTTAACTTACTCGGATCAAGATTAGGTGAACCATTCGAATTGAGATTCGATGATAAAGGAATATTTGTATGATTTGTAATAAGAGAATTATTTTGTTGTAATAAACTATTAACATTATTTGTACCATTATTATTTGTATTTGTTAATAAAACATTTGTTGTCGATGACGATGGATGATTCATAGTTGATGTTTCATCATATGTTCGTTTAAAAAAGCTTGCTTGTAATGCATTAAATGGTAATATACGTCGTTTTGGATCATATTCAAGCATTTGTTGAACAAGTTCTTTAAATTTCATATAATCTAATACGGAATGATTAGGTTCGCCAGTACGACGACCACCAGGACCACCAACATCAACGCCAAGTACATCATGTAATTTACGTGTAGCTGGTGCTCGATACTATATTTAGTTAAATATAGATACATAATAAAGAATATAATATTTATTTTCTTTTATTGGTTTCTTACCCTTCTTTCTTTACTTTTTCGTGGTATCCATGTATTATCTGGTAAACGATCAAAAAATCGTTTAGTTTTTGTCCCTTGTTCAAGTATGTGATTCGGTGGCATACCAAGTACTTCAACAATTTTCATCATTTGATCATACTAAATCGATATTTGTTTGTTTTTTTTCTTTCTAATATTAACTAAATAACTTACTTCATTTGTACCACTAAATAATGGTTCACCTGTATGCATTTCAACAAGGATACAACCAAGACTCCACATGTCAATAGCCATATCATATGGAATACCAAGTAATACTTCTGGTGAACGATAAAATCGACTTTGAATATATTGATAAAGCTATAAAAGATTACGTTTATATCGTTTTATATATAAAAATCAAATTCCACAAAAAAAAACATACACGTTGACCAATTTGACATGAACTACCAAAATCAACAATTTTAATAGCTGATCGTTTTGGATTAACCAAAAGAATATTTTCAGGTTTCAGATCTAATTATAAAAAAATAATTTATTTATAGATATATATATATATAGAATATTTTTGATTTTCACAATAACATACCGCAATGAAGTACATTAAGCTCAGGTTGGGATAGAAAAAGTAATGCCGATAATAATTGTAATGCAAATTTACGTGTTAAATTTAATGATACGCCACGAAAATTTGTATTGCGTAATAAATCATATAAATTATATGACAATAATTCAAAAACAAGACATAAATGATTACGAAATGTAAAATTTCGTTTTAATTTAACTTTAAAGAAAAAAAAAAACAAAAGAAATTAATTTTACTTTAAATAGAAAATTTCATACATACCAATATAACCATTATTATCAATATCATGTTGATTCATTAATTCAAGAAGACGTACTTCAATTTGTGCTTGTGAAAGAAATGGTCGTTTGTTTTTAATTATCTTTATAGCAACATATTCACCATCAATATGATCAAATGCTTTAACAACCTAGAAAGATATATATATATTTTTTTTTTCAAATAAAATTTTTTATTTTTTTTATTTTCAATTTTACTTGTCCAAAACTTCCTTTTCCAATAAGACAATCGATAGTATATCGTTCAAGCCATATTTCACCTGGTCGTACAATATAATCATGATTTTCATCATCAAAACCATCATTTAAATTTCGTTTTTCTTTTTTATATAAACCATTATTATCTTCAATTACTTGATTATTACTACGTTTTTTCTTTTTTGCATAATAAACCTAAATGATAATTAATTGTCAATTAAAATCTGTCAAACAAATATCACAAAAACGAAACACAGAAAGAAATAATTTAATTAATACTTCATAATTTGTTTGTAATTCAGGTGATATTGGACCTGTAGCTGATGGTACAATATCATATAGATAACTAGTTGAACTACCATATGCTGAACTTCCATCGGTAAGACTACTTGCATTTGATGAAAGATGATGATGACGATTCGTATTGTTACAATAAAATTGTTCATAACCAAATGGTACTGTCCATTCAGTATAAGACGGTGCTTGTATGTATTGCATCGTTATGCTCTTTTTTTTCTTTTATGTCTCACAGACACTCGTAAATAAAGTATCAAAAAAGAAGAAGACGAAGAAGACAAGGAAAATCTATACCAAGAAAACCTCGTTAAAACAGCCAGACCATATCGGGACGAAAAGTGTCAACAACAAGCCTCGATCATCAAGGTTAATTATTATACTTTAAAGGATATCATATACACACACACACACACACACACATACATATATATATATGAATGACATATGTATGTATACTATAAACGAATAAGGTTTTAAGAATAAGATATATGCATCAGCTGATGTTCTCTTCTCATAGATTAATACACATCAATGATGCTCACGGTCATTGAATTGCATCATATCGCTCAGTCATATCTTTTCTTAATGTATATTTAGATGACCCGAAAGACGACGCATTCGACCATCGCACAATCAAATGTTCGATGTTATACATAGAGAACGGGAGAAAAAGGAGAAGGCGTACGCATAGAAAGATATCATCGTTATAATCATTTTTGTTTTGTCCTATATTTTTTTTTCATTTTTTTTACGCATCACGAATACATTTACTTGTATATCATCATCATCCCTACTACACAGAACGAAAAGGGAGAAAAAGAATATATATATATATATATATAAGAATATCGAATATTTATATAACATGTAATTTATGTATATACATAGAGATGATTGAATAAGAATAAGATTTTACCTCATTGATATGTTTGTATGTTTTGATGAGATCAACACTTAATTTACGAAGAGGTGCCTCGACTGGATCTCGATAAGCGTTCATTGCTGGCATCATCATGTATATTATAGATATATTGATAATATTCCATAATTATAATAGCATTTCATTTTCATTTACCATAACATATTCTATTTAAGAAAAAAAAAACAAAAAGAAAAGAAATTAGATATATTTTTTTTGTTTTATTTTTCAAAAAAACAAATCAAAAATTTTACATACCAAAAAAATACAGATTTAAGCCGTTAGTACTGCTTGT